AACATTAGCTAGGATAATATGTTCTTCGTTTATGTTTTGTACAGTGATGAGCCAATATTGCTGTTTTTGAAGAGCTGCTGTTTTTCCTGGTGAATTATAGAGAAGAATGGCTAGACCAGCTTATCTGGATGAGCCGTGGTCAAACAAAATTTTATCACCCCATTGTTGTACACAAAACTGTTCATCTTCTTGAGTTGAGTGGGTTTCTTGCAAGAAAAAAACTTACTTTTTCACCTTTGCAAAATAAAATTGACTTTCTTTTAGTTTTGTCTCTCAGCCCCCTAGCATTGAGTGAAATACAGAAAAAGGAACTAACCATTAAGATAAATGAAAAATAGTAACACTGAACAGTAAATTAGCAAAGAACAGTGAGTTGAGGTAGCTTTAGTTTGAAAGGAGCTCAAAAAAACCTAGAACACATCCCTTTCAAGCACTACAAGTGTCAGGATTGGCGTGTATAGATGCCAAACAGAGGTTGTAGTGAACTCAATTATAAAACCAGACGAACTGAGGTAGAGAAAAGTTCTTTACTTGTTGCAACCAAAACAACTAACACAAAGTCCAGGATCACAATCAGGTCGATAAGACAGTCCAGGGTCAGCGCCGGTAAACAGGTATAGCCAGGAGATCCAAACTCAAGAGGTCAAGGGGGACTAAATCAGAAGGTCAGTACACTGCAGGCGATCAGAATCTGGGAGGGCATAGGCAAAAACACGATGGTCAAAAACAGTAATCCAAGGTCAGAAACAGAGAGTCAGGCAAGGTATAAATGCTGGAGAGTCAGAGCTGGAGTCTAGAACAATCTGGCAGCGTCCTGGTGGGAGGACGCTGCCTAAATAGAAGTAACAACGGTCCAAAAAATAAGGAGCAGGTGAACTGATGATTTAAGTAAAAAGGCCAAAACTGAGGTGAAATAAAACAGGAAGTAATGTGAAAATAAAAGCACGACAGGAAGCAAGGGGGGCATTGTGGAGTTTTGCTGTAGCTGGGTGCCAAGTGTGTCTACCTTCTCAGTTAGCTGGTGTATTGCATTCAAGATAACATTCGTCTCTTCTTCCTTACCGGTTTTGGTGTCTTTTTTTCTCGGCCGCTGGTGGGTTCTTTAGGGGTGAAAATTGATCTTTTCTTTTGGAGTTTTCAATTACTTCCATTTTATCCGGGAGCAGCATAATCATGGCAATTCAGTAACCTGGTATCAGAACAACGAGCCGTGCTGGAGTACTTTTTAGTCGCCATGGAAGATTTCTTTCCATGAAGGGAGTTGCAAACTTTTAGATTTGAAGTATGTACCTTGTGATAGCTTCAGGTAAAACAGAAACAGAAAGCTGAATGGCGAGGTAGTCATAAATATTGGGACTAGCATAGGGAGCTCAAAGATTTGGCTGCATCCAATCCACCATCTTGCCGGAAGTGACCTTGTTATGAACTCCAGTGATCTCAGTATAAGTGGATTTAGTCTTCAAAAATATGCGTATTGGACACAATGGCAGAAAAGAAGGGAGATCAGTCAGTGTACCTTTGGTTAAAGGAACCTTTTAATAAATCCCTGTACACCGACCAAAGGAAACGTGACTGCCGGTAAGGTGTGTAAAGGGAATTAAAACAAGCGCCTCTTTCCACAAACATTTTCGAACAATATAGCTTACCTTACATTCATGGTGAATTGCTGTAGATTAGGGTAAGACTTCATTGACCCATAGACGTCAGCTTAACAAATATTTTTAATCATTAAGTTAATGGACAAAATAGGCTAAATAGTATTTTCTGTGTTGCTATGCAGAAAATATTTTCTCTTTTAAAATGAATCATTAAATCATAAAGGGCCAAAAGGAATGACTGAGCATGTTACCGATGAGCAGTGTACACATAAGTGGGTCCTTCCAGTTTTTTCATGATGAATACAACATTTTTTGCTTCAAGAGTTCACTTATCAATACACAGATAAATGTGCCAAACATTTAACTTTTAACATCTGGGTAGGGCTGCCTGGTATCTATCTACATTGTATCTGCTTAGGCATATTGTCTCATCTATGAATATTTGTGTTAATTTGGCTGTTAGCCTGTCATCTTGTTCTATTTGACTGGAAAAATACAAAACTTCCTTCTTGTGCCAAAGTGGTCAAAGGACTGTTTCATTAAAAATGAGAAAGAACCAAGTTTACAATAACAAAGTCTGACATTTTTTAGAAACAATATGGATGCCTTTTATATTAAAGGTTTTGTGTAATTTATTGAATTTTTCATGCATGTTTCTGTATGTTGTGGTTCTTTTGTGCAGAACTTGGAAAATCTTTTAAAAAGTTATAAAAAGTGCATTATTCTATGACAAAATATATATTTCCTATACTTCCTTAGAGAAACTGTACTGAAGCAAAAACAAAAAAGAGGAGAGATTTGGTTGAGAAAGAAAGATTTTGCTTCATTCTCATATGTGTACATAAAGTACATGGCTTTGCAAAAGACAACTAACTTGATACCTGACATACAAATCTAACAGACCATCTTTGCCTTTTCTCAAAACACAAACCACAGCAGTCTTAAGGTTGTAATCATATTCATTATAGCTTTCCATACATAGCACTTGGCAGACACAAACCCCATCTGTGAGCTTCAGCATGCCTGTCTCTTTGTGTGTAGATAATGAGCACATAAATGTATGCAAGCTTGTCTGTATGCAGGAGCTTGTGCTTTTTTTATATTAGCAGATGTGCATATGTGTGACCACATGCAGATATGTATGTGTTTTGTGCATATGTGCGTGACTGTGCATGTGTGTATGGGGAACAAGGGGGTTTGAATTCATAGCTACTTGTTATTCATGAAGGCGGCTGCTGCAGTGTGAGGGAGATTCCCGCTGGAGCCTTTCTGGTCACACAGTCTGTCTGGGACAGCATCAGAGAATCACAGCAGAACAGAAAATACCTCAACACAAGCTTTTACCTACCTACTGCTAACCTTGCATTTCTGTATAATGTCATATGCCACTACAAAATCCACTCAGAAACATTATATTTGCACGTAAATCAAAATGAGCAGAGATATTCTGACTAAAAGCTATCAGGTTAAAAAATGACATTAGCTAGGCTATGTTGCTATAAAAGAGGATCCAGTCATGCAGTACATTGATATTTATAGCTATATGCATACAGTTTCTCTTCTATAGTGAATAATACATTTATTTATACAGTGCTTTTAAAGATAAACATGCTTTACAAAGGTAACAAAAAAGTAGTTAGACACACAAACACACATAAAGAACTATTAAAACAGAAAAAGGCACAAATACAAAAAAGAATAAAAGATGTATTGTCGTAATAAAGCATTAGCAACAGACATTAGTTAAAAGCATTTTGGTTTGAATGCTTTTTTAAAGCTGTGGAGGGTGGCAGTATGTTCAAAGTTTATTGGGAGGGAGGTCTAGAGGGTGGAGGTAGTGATGGAGAAAGCTCTGTCATCCCAGGTTTGGTGCTTAGTCCTGTAGGGGACCTAAAGAAGATCTGAATCAGCTGGCCAGAGGTGTTGTGTTTGAATGTGATGGTGGAGGAGATTGGACAGGTAGGAGGGGTCAGGTTGTGGAGGGCTTTGTATGTGATGAGGAGGATCTTGAATTGGATGGCTGGGGTCATTGGGAGCCAGTGGAGGTTACACAGAATTGGGGTATGTGGTCATGGGAATGAGACAGACAGAGTGAGAAGACAGGCAGCAGAGTTTCAGGGCATGCTGAAGTTTATTTTGAGGGTGAGACAGTGAGGATGCTGTTACATGTAGTAAAAGCATGAATGAGTGATTCTGTGGCCAAGAATGACATGGTGGATGATGGGCAATATATTTTAGATGAAAGAAAATGGTTTTGGTTATATGGTTAAAGTGGTGTTCAAATGTGGAATCAAAGATGTCCTAGAGGTTTCTGATCTGGAGGGAGAGGAGAAACAGCAGTGTTGTTGATTTCTAGGGAAGAGTTACTGGTGAATTTTGTAAGAAATCTCTGGCCTATGAGAACTGTCTCAGATTTGTAACTGTTCAGTTAGTTGGCATCCATGCATGCTTAGTTCTTTGAGACAGTTTGTGAGAATGGAGTGAATTGGGGTTGTGACAGATTTGGTAGTTATGTAAAGCTGTATGTTAACAGCATTGCCCTGCACTCGCACATTGCCCTGTAACATTCAGATTAGGTATGTGATACAGATTAGTGCTGTAAATGCCAATTTAAATGTATGGCAAGAATCTTTGCCCTTTTATCTAATCTGCTTACTTGAAACTTGTTACTTAAAGGGTGGTTCCACACATCACATTACTATAGCTAGGCTAAGCAGGTGATTCAAAGCCTTCTACACCAACATATGTAATCCTAGAAGTTCTTTCACAACTGTATCCACAATAATAAAGCTCCCATGTTTATATTTTCTCATATATTTTGTTAAAGACATCTATAAAAATTATTATGATGGTATATAATCTTTTCTTTATAGAAAAATAATACAATTCTGTCAGGTCCGCTTGGCGCGACCTGCCTCTCTTTCTTTATCTCCTCTCCTGCTCTCCCTTTTTGCGGGATCAACACCTCAGCTGTGTCGCATCGGGTAATTAGTGACTCGTGGGTCGGTGCGCACACCTGAGGCGTATTCCGGTGATTTGTTGGCTTCCTTATTTATACCTCTGGCAGACGCTCTGTGGTCGCCGGAGCATTTCGACATGTAACGGACAATACTTACCCTATGTAAGTTACGAAGGTTGTGTTTGACCCGCATATTTTTTAGACGTGTGTAAGATGCTACGCTGACAGTCTCTGTGTGTTTTGGCTTGACCTTATCACGTTAATTATGCGGTTAGCAATACAGAAATACGTGCTTTGTCTTCCACGCTGACAGTCCCTGTGCTGTGGATTACATTGTGTACGTTGGTTTTTTTGTTGTTCACCTGTTCGTCCTCATCCTCCTGCTATCCTAGTTCCTGTCGTTAGTTTGTGTGTTTACCGTCCTGGTCTCCTTAGTCATCACTGCCCTTCCCTTGTATGTATTATGGACCCTGTTATGTTGTCATGTTGTTTTTATTCCATTAAACCTTTTTTTTTGTACTAGCACCTGGGTCAGCCATCTTGAGTCCAACCCCAGTTCTCCCTCACCCTCATGGTGAGGGGGACTAAACCATAACAAATTCCAGTGGTGTGCTTTTAGCCTATCCACCATTAGTGTCCTCAGGTTGGATTAAGGGAGGAGCTCTATTCGTACTAGTAAAACCACAAGACCATTTTTTATAATGCCTGTTTGTTCTCCGCAAACAGCCATTATCAAGTTTTGTTTAGGGACGTGTCATTGCCTCAGCATGTCTGTTTTTATAGTTTACATTGTCCTTATATAATTGGGAAGCAAAAACTTCACTTTGCATTCAGTCTGAACACATCTTTAAAATTATGGAGCTTAGATATACACCAACAAAAAATTACTGAGCATTATTGTGTATTTTTAAACTTGGGACAGAGCCAGGCTAGGTGTTTCCCTATGTTTCTAGTCTTTATGCTAAGATAAGCTAACCATGCCCTAAATGCAACTGTAAGATTGAGCTTCTTGGGTACCCTCAAAATGTTTTACTATTAAACACAAATGTCCCCTCTCATGTCTTGAGAACAGGCCCTTCCTCTGCTAATTAAGGAAACACTGATATTTTGTCACATGCATTTTTGGCCTTTTATTCAAGTAAAAGGGGAACAGTGTTATTGATTTCATCTTGATTTCACTCTTTCAAGGCCTGTATTTAATCTATCTTAATGTCCCTGGTAGGCTAGTGGTTAAGGCGCAGCATTCTCGCCACGGCACCACGGGTTTGAATCCAGGTTGCCTCAGGAAGGGCGTCTGGTGTAAAACACGTGCCAAAAGTCAGCATACAAGTCGTCAGTGTGACAATTCGCTGTGGCGACCCCTAAACGGGAAAAGCCGAAAGTGACTTTATTTAATCTATCTTAACACAAAGACTGCAAGCACGGGTCTAACGGCTGGCTATCTGTCAAAAGTTTTCTTCTTTCCAGAGGCTGCTGTTCAGGAAATTAGTAATGCTACAGTAACTAAAACCACAATGACCTTTTATATGTTACACCTGTTCAATAAACAGTGATGCAATATGTAAATGAGACAAGAAAACGGTTTCACTCTCAGTTCTTCATAGTTACCACATTTTTTTTCCTTTTAGTTGTTTCGTTTTCTTATTCCACCACTATGACCAGTCTCCACTCTACCTTTTCTCTTTCTCCTTTGTGCCTTTAGTGTGACCATGACTTTTTTTCAGTATTTCTATCATCTTCCTCAACCACGCCATCTTTCTCTTTCTCTCTTGAGTACCAGGAAGTAATTTCTGACAGATTGCTTTCTGTATGGTTCACACACAAGCCTCTATACTGTCATTAAGATCCCTCTACTTCGTGCACACACATATGCACAAGGAAGCAAAGCCATGAGTACTGATCACACATACTATACAAACCTCTCCTGTTTTCCTCCTCTGCCTTCACTGATTCTGTCTCCGCCTTGCTCCTTTACAGCCTCAGTGGAAGACAATGCAAACTAGTAAATCCTTGCTGAAAGAACAAAGATATCAAACATGTCTGCTGCATTTAAAATTCTGAATGAAATGTTCACCTGCAAGATAAAGGAGGTGCAAAATAAGAAAATAAACAGCAGACTGTAGTGAATGAATACACCATTTACCTCTGATGGTGTCCTGATGGCCTTGCAAGTCCACTATAGTTTTTAAGGACTATTCCATTGACCCACTTTTCAAATTTTTACAAAAAGGTTTTTACATACTTGGTTGTAATTTTCTGCTTCCATTCCATGCAGACATTGGTTTCCATTTATTTTTGTATGATCCGAAAACCTTTTAGCAGATTTGCTTGAAGCCTGCAGGAGTTGTGTAATCAGGGAACATCAAAGTCCTTTTCAGAAATGCACTGAAACCCTGGCATTATCTAGACATTACTTGGGGAAGTTATATGTGAGAACGTGAATGTCCATGTCAGCTGAGCCAGACATTAAGTTTACTTTACCCTGCCAACTCCCTAGTACAAAGCCTGCGTAAAGTATATGTATACAGTATAATATGAAATAGCTCAACACAACTAATGTAACGTGGTTTATCCAAATTCAACACAAAATGCAACTTTTAATGACTGCAGTCTCAGAATTATTCAACCCCCTGAATAGAATCTCTCATTAGAGCACACATTTGCTAATCAGATCAATACACCTGAGGCAACTAACGAAGGGCTACATTAGTTGCATCAGGTGTGCGTGAGACTGAGCCCACAAAATACCTGAACTGGCTAGGGTTGTTGAGAGTCATGTTTGACTGCATGTTAGAAACACGGCTAAGTCAAAAGAACTGTCAAAAAAGTTAAGGGATGAGATCATTGCCTTTCACAAACAAGGAAAGGGATATAAAAAGATAGGGAAGGCATTGAATGTTCCTAGAGACACCTTTGCAAGTGGAATAATGCTGCCTTGAGCACTGCATTTGTAAACGGGCTGAAGGAGGGGTTAAAAGATGAACTGGCAACCCGTGATGAGCTAGCCAGTTTCGATGACCTGGTTTCACTGGGTATCTGTATATACAACAAACTGAGGGAGTGACGCCAAGAGCGACGGCACCCCTCCAGGGTACCCCAGCGGCGTCAGTCGATAAAAGAACCCCCGGTATGTTGTCGAGACCAGGTACCCATTTCAAACTATTCACCACCCCATGAAGAGCCTATGCAGCTCAGTCGCACCTCGCTCTCAGCGGAGGAGAGGGTCAGACATCTGGCTGCTAACTTATGCCTATATTGTGGGCAGCCAGGGCACCACATTGCACATTGTCTGGTACGGCCAAAAGGCCATGGCCACCAGTAAGGCCAGGGCAGCTGGTGGGCCAGTGTCAAGTCCCTGGCGCATCCTAAACTTGTCTTCGTCTTTCTGCACTTATCGGTTTCAACTCGGATTCCCTTGCTATGACAGCCTTGGTGGACTCAGGGGCGGATGATAGCCTTATGGACCGTGATCTAGTGGAATAGCTTGGTCTACCTGTTGAACCCCTTGACAAGCCTGTAATCGCTAATTCTCTAGATGGTCACTTTATGGCTAAAATAACTCATAGGACACTCACCGTTCCCCTTGTCGTCTCTGGGAACCACAAAGAAAATATTAGGTTCAACATCATTAGCGCCCCTTAGTCACCGCTGGTATTGGGTCATACCTGGCTCACACTTCACAACCCCCACATTGACTGGGCTGCTGGAACCGTGCTGGCTTGGAGCTCGTACTGCGCAGCTCATTGTCTTTGGTCTGCTGTTCCCGCAACCACCAGTTCCAATCACAATTCCGTTCCCAAACCAGTCGACCTCTCCAGAGTCCCGCCGGCTTATCACAACTTGGGAGAGTTTTTTCGCAAGGACTTGGCCCTCTCATTACCACCTCACCACCTATACGACTGATCCATCAACCTTCTTCCTGGGGCCCCTTACCATCCAGCCAGTTGTACAATCTGTATAGACCAGAGAAGGAGGCCATGGAGCAGTATATCCACCAGTCATTACAGTCAGGACTTATCCGACCCTCTTCATCACCACACGGAGCAGGTTTCTTTTTTTGTCGGGAAGAAAGACGGGTCCTTAAGGCCCTGCATCGAATATCACGGTCTTAACAACATCACTGTGAAAAATAAATATCCACTTCCGCTCTTAAACTCAGCATTTGACTCCCTCCAGGGAGCCACAATCTTTACCAAACTCAACCTCTGCAATGCCTATCACCTTGTTTGTATACGTGAAGGGGATGAATGGAAAACAGCTTTTAAAACACCGCTCAGACATTTCGAATATCTAGTCATGCCCTTTGGGCTTACTAATACCCCTGCTGTCTTTCAGAACCTAGTTAATGATATTCTTCGTGATTTCCTCAACCACTTTGCGTTCATTTACCTCAATGACATTCTGATTTTTTTCCTCATCCCCCGCAGAGCACACTCTACATGTCCGACAGGTTCTACAATGGCTTTTGGAAAATAGACTTCATGTGAAAGCGGAGAAGTGCGAGTTTCACACAAGCATGGTGAGCTTCCTGCGGTTCGTCATACAGCAGGGGAGGATTAAAGCAGATCCAGGTACGGTCCATGCTGTCACGGACTGGCCGGTCCCTGAAAACAGAAAAGATCTACAACACTTCCTTGGGATTGGCAAATTTTACAGACGTTTCATAAGAAACTACAGCACCATTGCAGCACTGCTCATCAAGCTGACTTCCACCACCTCCAAGTTTAGCTGGTCAACCGAGGCTGACCGCACCTTCGAGTTACTTAAGGACAAATTCACCTCTGCTCCAATCCTCATTCAGCCAGATCCCACTCACTAGTTCATTGTCAAGGTGGACGTATCAGATACAGGAGTGGGAGCCGTACTCAGTCAGAGATCAGAACATGATAATACTGTTCACCCCTGTGCGTTCTTTTCTCAGCGACTCACCTTGGCTGAACAAAATTATGATGTTGGTAACAGAGAACTGCTAGCCATAAAACTCACCCTGGAGGAGTGGAGACACCTCTTAGAAGGAGCTGAGGTTCCATTCACAGTATGGACTGACCATAAAAACCTGGCATATCTCCAAACGGCGAAAAGACTCAACACACGACAGGCCAGGTGGGTGCTTTTCCTTGACAGATTTAACTTCACTCTCACTTACCGACCTGGTTCTAAAGATCAAAAACCTGACTCACTATCACGGCAATTCAGTCCCACACATGACAATCACAAAGACAAAAGCATATTACTCAGCATTCAACTCCCTCCAGGGAGCCACAATCGTTACCAAACTCGACCTCCGCAACCTCCTGTATTATTGTAGCTGTTACCTGGGACATCTTGCAGAAGATCACTTAAGCCCAAGCAGGGCAGCCAGACCCTGGGGGGGTCCTCCTGGTTGAACCTTCATACCTGATGCCGTGCACGCAGATGTGTTAAACTGGGCCTACACTTCTCGAACTAAGGAATGCAATCACCAGCAAGCTGATCCGTCGGCCAGCTCCCCAGTATGCGCCAGGTCAGAGAGGTTGGCTGGCTGCAGAACACATCCCTTTGAAGGGAGAGTCCCAGAAGCTGAGTCCTCGGTACTTCGGCCCTTTCGAAATTGAGACTGTATTGCATCCCACTGCCGTGTACCTATGCCTGCCCAGGAACATGCGCATTCATCCTACCTGCCATGTCTCCCACATTAAACCATTGTCCACCAGCCCCCTCTACACCACGGCTGCTCCTCCGCCTCCTCCCATTGAGGTGGATGGGGCCCCTGACTTTTTGGTCTGCTGGCTTTTAAACATCTGTTGTCTGGGCCGGGGACTTCAGTATCTGTGGACTGGGAGGGTTACAACCTGGAGGAGCGCTCCTGGGTGCCTCGCTCATTTATTCTGGACCCGTACCTGATTCAAGACTTCCACGCCCGACACCCTGGTGGGTCGCCCGGCACTGTTATGGCTGCAGATCAGTGCACTCCCAATCAGCAGAGCATTACTTAAGGAGAGTGTTGGTGTGTTCTCATCACCAGATGATCTCTCGATGTCCAGCAATTCTTCAGTAAGCTTCTGATATGACTAACTTGTGTTTCTTTTTGCCTGGGTGATCCCTGTATTGTTTCATGCATTTTTTCTGAACTGTGAGCTGAACCGAACTGTGAACTGAATTATTTGCTTTCTGCCAGAGGAAATCCACTTGAATATTGTTTAGTATGAACTATTGTTTCTGGGAATTTGACTCCTGTCTCTGCTCTACTGAATGCTGCTGTGTTCTCGTCAGTTTGAGTTTTCACTGCTTGTTTTAAGTTTCCTCTAAACCTGTGCACATGCTGCGATCTCCTTGCAAGTTCGAGTTTTTTCTAGGATGATCCTGTGACTCGGCTACCCAGGCGGACCTCCCACACTGGTGTAGAGCTGGGCTGCAGCCAACCCTCCTGTGAACTATCACTTCCACTGCCAGCAGATTCATGCACCGGCCAGAAGGCACCTCATCACCTCCTGCCTCCCTGCACAACACTCATTCATCATAACCCAGGTTCTCGTCATTATTAACCACACAAAGAGTCACTGCTAATCTGCTCAGTCTTCTCACCCCCCCTCCTCTGCTTTCTATTCAGTGGTTGCCTCTACTCGCTGTATGCCCGGGTTTCTCATCTAGTGGTCCAGTCAACATAGCTCCCAGTCGCCCGTGCCTGACAAGCTGAAACGTCCACACTACATCTTATATTTTCTGTTACCACTGCTGATTAAAAATTGCTTTGATCTTGAGTCTTTGTCACATCCTGCATTTACTGGGTCCTCAGTTATTTCTGATGGCTAGCCAACAAGAACTCCAAGACGTACACCACTATTGACCCAAAAGCACAAATTTTTTTTTGTCTCCATTATGCTCAAAATCATATAAATTAGCCATAGATGTTTTGGGACTCGATTAAATAAAGCTGGAACTTTTCAAGTCTATGGATCAGCAGCATGTCTGGAGGAAGAAGAATGAAGCATACGCTGAAAAGAACACCCTACCTACAGTGAAGCATGGTGGTGGCTCGGCTGCTTTGCTTCCTCTGGCACTGGGAACCTGCAGCGTGTGGTAGGCAAGATGGATTCATTGAAGTATCAGGAAATCTAGGAGAAAACATCATGCCATCTGTGAAGAAGATGAAGATTGGGTATCATTGGACCTTCCAACAGGACAATGATCCCAAGCATACCTCAAAGTCCACCAAAGCTTGGTTGCAGAAGAGGTCCTGGAAGATTCTAGACTGGCCGTCGGACCCTATAGAAATCTCTGGTGGGGTTTGAAAAAGGCAGATGCAGCACGCAAAACCAAGAATATTAGTGAACTGGGGACCATTGCCCATGAGGAATGGACTAAAATTCCTCAGGAATGCTGCCAGAAGATGGTGTCTTGCTATGCATCACATTTGCAGCAAGTCGTGACAGCAAAAGGGTGCACTACTAAGTACTAAATGAAGGGGTTGAATAATTCTGAGACTGAAGTTACTAAAAGTTGCATTTTGTGTTGAATGTGGAGAAACCACTTGTTATATTAATTGTGTTGTGCTATTTCAAATGTTCTTGTCTGATTTGTTCATTGCAGATGGCTGAAAGTGTGTAAATTTTGCCAGTGCACCTAATATGCAATGGGGGTTGAATAATTACAACTATAAAATAAAACAATTTATTATGTCAACATAAGGTCTTTCTATATGACAAAAAAGGATGGATGGAGAAACCAGCATAGTTGAGATTACATTTTAGCCATAGGCTACAAACTTGTGATTAATCAGACCCAGAGTATGCAGACACAAATAATATGGAGTAAAGCTGGCTTTTATCCAGCTTTGATTACAACTGCCACATTTGTCAACATGATTTTCACGTACTCTATTACAATATAGCCTATATGGACAATGCTGTTGTTTATATTATTAGCAGCAATATCAGCGGTAGCACTAGAATGAACAGTACTAGTGTTGCCAAAACATTAGTAACAGACGTCTAATTGTTTACGCTTGCTATCAATAGCAGTCGCGGCATTTCTACAAGCAGCAGCAGTTGTAGTAGTAGTAACGTGAAAATAGTACCGTTAGAGTTCAATTGAGCGGAGGTACACAACCGTGCTGCGGTCTGTGAATGCTTTGGGATACAGCGGAGAAACACAAGTATGGCTGGCGGTAGTGATGTGGTTCAGTGTTCCACTGTGTTTTTTTCAAGCTGAGAGAAAAGAGACTGACGCTCGAGCGGGTGGAGACTGCTACACATTTAAATCCCCCGGGTCGGGTTTTCAAGTCTTTAGCAGTAAATTACTTTCTTTTTTTTATTTTCTTTCTACCGTTGGATTCTTTCGAGCTGGTTTAATGTCGTAAATGACAGGTCTGTAAGGGCGTCGTTGTTGGGAAGTTTTTTCGAGGGGGGGTTTGACCAGCAAAGGGCCATGGCAGTCGAGGCTCGGCCAGAGCTGGTCGGGAAGCGGTTCCTCTGTGTCAGCGGGGACCAGCCACCTGAAATCGGCGACATTGGTCGGTGGCCGTGGAGGTCCGGGGTCATACGAGCCGTCAGCCATCGTGACAGCGACAATCCCGACCTGACGGTAAGGAAAACATCGACTTTGTCCTCCTCTATGATCTGTTACATGGAAAACCAATGGGAAAATCTCTGTGGTTGGTGGCTAGCCAGCGAGGCAATGTTGTAGACTTGCCAAGCGGAAATTATTTTGTAGCTTTGTCTTAGTTATGTCTTATTGGATCAATGCGTATACCGCGTATTTGTCTGTTGTTCACTAATGTATTTGTCATTTGTAGGGTGTAAAAGTCGAGTCAGTTATTTGACCACTTAAACAAGTTAATAGGAGGCAGATGATCAACTGCGGTTTATGAAAAGCGGCGGTCTGTGGTCCAGGTATTTCTCTGCTAATTTACAGCAAAATCCACAAGATTACCATTACCTCTAATATATCATTTACTATGGCTAAGGTATACGTTACCTTCATGTCGTTAGTGCTAAGAATAGTGAAAACACAGTGAACTGTGTAGATAGACTTGTCTGCCAGCAGTAAATCGTTAATCTGACGGTAGTCGCTTTTTGTCAAAGGCAAACATCTGGAATTTGAACTGGTATTGTGTTGTGACCTGAGAGCGGCTGCATTTGTAAAGATAGGAATTTGAGCCCCAAAGCAGGAACGTTTTAATATGTGTATCCTGCAAATCAGTTGACAGAGGTAGGGTTGGCTTTGAAGATTTACTCTGCGTTACAGACTTTACGGCGAACTGATCCTTTTTACCTCATGGTTATTGGTCCCAATCCACGTAATCTGAGCGTGCTGATCGATCATAAAGCCCAGTCTGTCTGTGTTTTTAGGCGGAAAACATCCTCTCCGACTTGGACAGGGGCGTACAGGACTTGTAAAAACATAAAACTGGCTTTCTGCAGGGTGAACAATGGGTAGATTATCTTTATGTAAAATATCGCCTGCAATTTCAAGGCAACTCCATGTAGTCACTTTTAGAGCTTTCAGTAGCAGACATATTTTCTTCTTGATCTGTGATTACTGCATTCTTAATACCTTCAGTAGGAAGGCAGTAATGGATAACAATCTTGGCAGTATATTGGGCTGAATATTTCCCTCTCATTAAAAAAGAGGTATTTTTTATAATGGATTAACATGCCAAAATCAGTAAACAATGAAAGATTTGCCCTGACAAGCCTGTGGCTGGCTAATACACTGTAGTGCCTCACTCTACAGTGTGACTGTTCCCATTTTCTTTTGTTCACAGAATCCTTCTGTCAACCTATGCAGATAATTCACCAAACCTCAGCACAGTCTTGATTTGATTATTAAATCTGTTATTTTTGTGCATATGTGCCATTTTTATAGGACTGCAAGACGTCAAATATTACATATTTCAGTAAATATTACCATCTAATGGTCTCTGGTCTTTGTGTGAAATTGGGAGACATCTGTGGTAGTTCAATTCTTGCATTTTTATTAGTGCATTTTAAAGCTTAAAATTGGAGCAGCATACATGCCAGAGGTCCTCTTGGCATGTCACTGACTACTTGTAGTGTTTTCTGTGTGATTACACAGGAGATAAATTCCTGGGATCACAGATGTATAGCTAGCTCTCCATTTAAATCATGCATTTACATCATGTTGTCTGCATTTATGACAGGAATAGTGAGGTGTCATAATTCCATGGATCGATTACCATAGCTAAACACTTTTCAAGTGTAATTTCATGTTCCCACATGTGCACAGCAAATGGCAAATAGCTGTTTGTAACACACAACAAACATGCTCCCGGCTTCCTGATTCTCTTGTAGACTCAGTCCTTGTGTGTGATGTGATTTAACCATCCATACAGTAGGGCACAGTCTCATTAGCAAGGAGCTTAACTATATGAATGAATACAGTGGAGAAGGATTGGAGATTAGATTAGAAGAAGTGTGTCAGACCTTTGTCAAGTGGCTGTGGTCAGATAGGCCATTAATACAGGAGTAGACTGTGTTAGGAACGGATCCCCAAGGCCTGTTGGCTCATAGCCATATATCTTAGTAGAAAAACAATGCAATTTATGTAAGTCAGTAAGACAGAGATAAGTGTGAAATGACCACCCACCAAGCACAAAATGTCTAAAATTATCTAGGTTTAACCATCACAATGTTTGGTTGCATTTTAAGATAACATTTCACTCCTAAGTCAGGTCCAGGGTTTCTGCTAGGTTCTCAAAGAGCTTAGGTGCTGTCTGGGTTCTGGGGGGTAATGGTGGTTGTGGGATTTGAAATTATTAGAAGGAATTTTGAAGTCTTTTTTTAATTTATTTGCACATTGTTTTTGACAGTTTCCCGTGCCATATTTGTAAAAGAAAGCTGGCAGCACATATATAGTATAGCGCTTAGTCAAAAGTTCTTTCTTTCACCAAGTAACATTTTTGAGATTTATTAAAAGTAAATGTGGATTAAACATACAGGCAGGCAAAACAACTCACACTACATGACTCCCTAGGTAACCTCTTTCAGACACGATACCCCCCATTTCTGGCATTCAAACATAGAGCTGGTGTGCATAAAACATCTGTAGCTTTGTTCAAACATAGCAGGCCCAGGCCGGGTACAGCCACAATGTTTATGCCATACCTAACATCATGCGAGACAGACACAACGTTGTAAGTTACAAATATACGAGGTGAAAGGTGGTCCATAGTAACATGGCATTTGACAGTGAGGATGTGGGTGGTTGGAAATGTTATCGTAATGCCATTGTTTTGTAAGATGTTTTCCAAGACCTTTCTCTTTTTCAGAAACCATATTTCCTCTGCTAGTTCAAAATAAGGTTTGTACCAGCATGCAGTTTAGGTGTCACATCCTACTTGATGATGATTGGTTTAAATGCTGTGCACAAGTATCTCTTATCTAGGACTGTCCTCATCTTGAGCATGCCCTTACTGACAATTTGACCACTTCAGTTCAGTAGCTGGTTAGAAAGACTATTTGATTAGGTCCGACCAGGTAAAATTTCCTGGAACGCTTTGCCAGCTATGGGACTCGGGGATTTGTTCAGACATGACGCTTAGACATGAAATATTCCTGGGTAGGAGTGCATGTCTGAAGGGGGACTTGCATCTCTGTCTGATCAGTTCTCAAACCACACTGCAGGAATGGAAAGCAAACTATTTCAGTCACCGACCATTGTGGGAAATGCCACACGACATGCAAGTGTTTGGAGAAGAATCTACTAAAGGCTGTGTTCACATATAATGTCTTTTTTGAAGTAGAACTAGCACCTGCTTTACAGAATAATCCCATCCAGTAGACTGTGTTTTCAAAAACACCTTGAGCTTCTTTTGGGACACTGTTGCTGGAAAAGTAAAGAAAAATAATAATCCTGGTTATTTAATGGTTCCAGCTTTTCCTTGTCGTAAGTTTTTGTGAACAAAACGTGAAGAGGTCACCCTGGAGAAGGGTTTTTTTTTTTTTTTTTTTGGCTAAGAAAATTGTGATGTATATAGGAGTCAGTCTTAAAATATAGCGTAATCTTTGAAACTAAAATTCAAACATAGCCTACACAGTGGCAGATTCTTATAAATGAATGTTTATATGTTTATACACATACACACACACCTTACATATACACTGCACGTGAATGGCTCTTGCGATCCTTTGTGCAGCACACCAGGGTTAGCGCTCGTGAGGGCTTTTTCCATTATAGGAATCTACCAAAACCTGTTGAGCCGAGTAACGCTTGTCATGGGTTCTGCATTTTTTTCCACTGCCCTCTGTCAGCTTTGGAGATGCCTTCTGGGAGCTAAATTTATATATTAAAAAAAATCAGTGCCATCACTGTTTTACAGGCAAAATGAGGACCTCGCTCCTTGGTTTGGGGTAAAATGGGGACTTCACTGAGTAGATGGGAGTTAAACAGATGGAAGATGTCACATTTCTGCAACTATGTGTTCGGCTTGTTCAACAGCTGTTAAACTGCTCATACAGTTTCTGTTTCTGGCTGATTGTTGTACTACGGTCTTGTGTAGTCCATGCCTCGATGGGTCAGAGCTGTTTCGGTGGCTGATCGGTGTATACAGAAAACATTGATTTTTGTTGTCCTGGAAGTATACTACTCTTAAGTATAGTTAGTCATTTTGGATCTGCAGAAACAGAAAAATACATGATAGAGGAGTTCAAGCCAGAGAGAGTGAAATTAAAGAATTCTGTGATATATACACAATTGCATACAGTGCATCAAAACAGCATTTTGATCCTCTATCAAACACTTTGGTGGGACTCGATGGACACTGATAAAAGCTAAAATGAAAAAAGAAAAAGCTCAGTAGTAGAGCCCTGCATGAGTATATTGGGTGCAAAATTGCCACACCCATGTGGTTTCACATTGAATGGAAGAGCAGGATAACCGGGTCATTGCCTATAGGACTCTTTCTTTTCCATTACAGTTCTGTGTGTGTGTGTCTGTGCGTGTGTATGTATGTAAAGTAGCAGTGAGGCTAGTTTGTTTTTAGGGATGTGGCCTTAAGTTAATCTCTGTGTGGCTGATCACCAGAAAATGACATTCTTTGACCACGAAAGAACCTTCCACATATAGAATACATGCACGGTTGTTGCAGTGCTGCAATTCTGCCAGATTAGAAACATTTTTAAGCTGTGTGTCAGGATGTCTTGGAATGAATAGCTGCATTGTTTGGTGTACAAATGCACACCAGAGACACAGAACAAACTTAGCAGCTTTTGCCTTCTAATGTAGATGCTCCAGTAGACCTGGCATAGATACAGTATATATGGTGATATAGGTTTGTACAAGGTAGGCCTTTATTTGAACAGTTTTAAGTGCTGTGTAGATTGCACTTATGAAAATAAGTGATTTTAAGAAGATTACCTTTCTGCCAAGTTTAATTTAAATATGAGTGACATTAAAACCTTAATAAATGAGTGGTCTCTTCCACGATGACAGTGTGCCCATCCATAGGACACGAGGGGTCACTAAATGGTTTGAGTATGAAAATGATGTGAATCATATGCTATGATCGTTGCAGTCACCAGATCTCAATCCAGTTGAAAACTTGTGGGAGATTTTGGACTGAT